CTGCTGAATGCCAAGATGGCTGCAGATGAGCAATTGTGTAACAGGCTCATCTTTCATAGGAAATGGTGGAAGCCCCACTGCTCGAGTAACTTAAAGCTAAATGAACAATTTTGGAAAATACCTCAACAGAATATAAGGTCAATTTTCCTTGATGACAGATTACACAGAGTGATAAGTAACGTTTCCCAATAGAAGATAAGCATTTGTTTTAGTATCAACTCAGAAGATTTTTCTTTTTCTTCTGATCAAACTAAAGAATAGCTGGTATTAATTAGTCTTAACAATAACCTGTTTAACGTTAGGTATTGAAAGAGGCAAGGTAGATAAATCTAACTTCTTAGTCAACAGCAGTATGGAGGGGCATCTCCCGAGTCTTTTTATTTTTACTTACGGTAACAGATTTCCTCTCATAAGTAGACTTCATTCAACACCAGTTCGGTCGAGTGAATAAATGCAAATTCTGTTGTCCTAGGTTGATTTTTTTTTCCCCCTGATCATAGGTGCAGAGGCTTTGATCCCTCACGTTTGCTGAGGAAGCTCTGAGACTCCTGGAAAACTTCAGTGCCAACAGATGCCCAACAAAATGGTGCCCTCTAAAGGTAATTCGCACACACTGACAAGCTGCGAGACAAACAGCAATGGGATATTTTTTACTGTACTTGGGAAGCAAATATATTGAAGGAAAAATGGGTGGAAGATGTGCATCTCTTAAAGAGACTCTTCCTCGCACCCTGCTTGGTTCACAGGAGAGGAATGCACGTAACGTTCCCTCGGCCCGTAAGGTTCAGGGATCTGCTTATTCAATTAAACTTAAAACATGAAAGCCAATCTAGATAAAGATAAGTGTTCGAGATGAATTCCTATAGTTATCTTAATTTTTTGCTCCTATAAAATTTGCTTGCTTATTTAAAGAAGGTTTTGAAGAGAAACCTGATATGTAGACTATGAAAAACTGGAATGTGAACCACTTGAGCACTGAGGTCAACATTCCTTCGAAAATGTGTATAATAGGTGATTTACCTTGAAAATTCAAGACTTGAGAGTGCTGTTGTCGAGAGACTGTGCTGTTATCAAGGTAATAGTCTGTCACATGAAAGTTTGTTACAAGAAATAGTTTATAAAAGCAAAAGCCAGCAACAACGAGATGACCTAAAATAGCTTGTTAACATTTTCAAAACGGTGGTAAGAAACATTCAAGGCTTCTGAGAAATTAATGGGTTGGCAGTACCACAAGGTGAAAGACTTCTGTTGAACAACCCATGACCGTATTTTGCGTGATAGTTTGCAATGGCTTGAGATCGCAACTCTTACTTGGCGATCCCAAGACTAGAACTACAGGATGCCGGACAGAAGAGGAAAATCTTCCCTGTCGTGGCTGTCACCATCTTCCCGACGCTGGGGTCCACGCGCCAGGAAGGCCTGGCACGTCCTCTTTCTGAACAACTGCTCGCATACCTGCCTACTTCCCCTCGATCTGAGCCTCCACAGTCTCCCTTGGCTTCCTCCACTGTTGTTTTTTTGGGGGGGGAGCTTGTCTTTTCTCTTCCTGCTCATTTTGCTTCACCCTAAACATTTTTCTTCTCGGTT